ATCAGTATATCGGATCCCTGACAGTGTATCAGTATATCGGAACCCCTGACAGTGTATCAGTATATCGGATCCCTGACATTGTATCAGTATATCGGATCCCTGACAGTGTATCAGTATATCGGATCCCTGACAGTGTATCAGTATATCGGATCCCAGAAGGTATATGCAGTGGGTAGCTGTGGGCATAGCCTTCTGTTTTAGGTTTTTCTTCTCTGTTTTTTTTTCTCCTCTCTGTAAGTTGAACTCGATGGACTTTTTTCAACCCGACTATGTAACTATGTAAAATGGAGTCTCTCACAAGAAAACAACATTCACTGTGAATTTTGTTAATTTGAGAATTATCCATCTACCTCCTTTCATTTTTATTCTTCACTACAGTGGAAAAAGAATGTCAATTTTACCCTATTAACCATTAGAAAATGGAATGAACGTTTCGAAAACCTAATCATTTCAAACAAAATTCTACTGGTGTATTGCCAGCTTAAAGGAGAACTATGAGGCGAGTGAAAATCACTAAACCTCATAGTGCGAGACGACTTGTGACAATTAAACTGTCACGTCAGCTCAATAGATCGGGAAGTGAGCAAACACATACCGTCGCTCACTCACTTCTCGATCTTCTCCCTGCAGAGAGCCGTGACTGTCACTCACGGCTCCCTGCAGCTATTACCCCCTCCCCTCTCCGATCCTTCAGCGCTGACTGGAGGAATGGACGGGGGGGGAGGCGGGTACAGCTGGCTCTGTCTCTAGATAGGCAGAGCCAGCTGTCACTCATGCAGCTGGGTGGATCTTGAGAGTAATGTCGGGATCCCTTCCGGCTGCGGCGGTCTCAGTATACCGCAAGCTGTAGCTCGCGATACACTGAGTTTTGGGTCACGGGAGGACGCTAGTATATGTCCTCCCGTGACCCTTTAGAGAACTTTGGAGAAAAACACTTACCCCCATAGTTCTCTTTTAAGGGTGGACAGTCCCTTTAACATGTAGTCAATGACGGCCCCTTTACCCACCTGAGTCAGTAACCACCGTGATAGACATATACAGAGTGAACTGCAGCATGTCATCAACGTTCTGGAAGTTCTTTATAAAATCTTTTCTCTCTAAGGTAGCCGTAGCTTCTCCACTTTCAATCTAAGAGAAAAAATGTGAGAAAAGAGCAAACAAAAAAGTTAATGCAAAGAGTGAAGAAATGTTATATAGGCACATATAAACATAGTCCCTACCACCTTTAATGGAGTGGCTACTAGACATTTTGCATTGCTAGAGCTGTAATCAGTCTAGTGGTCAGTAGTTGGTTATTATCTGGTTACTTCCAGGTGTTCTGCTGCTGACTGTACCTGCCTGAGTGGGGTGTGACCCTCCTGCAGTGTGGGACAGCCAATAGGGGAACATCTTGAGTGTCTATGCTTACCAGCCAATTAATGGGGGTTTCATGGCCAGTGGTGCATGCTGGGGGAGTGTATAAATACTAAGGGGAATTGCCATGTGCTCAGTACAGTCTGACCCCCGGAAAGATGGCAAAGCTGACTAGGCCTCAAGTCTGGAGGAGAAAACATGCAAACCCAGGTGGAGTCTGGAATTGTCTGGGGAGGAGAACCAGAGAAGCCTTATGCCTATAGGAGGTACCAGGGTCTGATATGGACCTCAGGTACAGGTCTGGTGTCTCTCCTATGGAAGATCTCATGCCAATCCCTACTAAGCTGTTGCTCTATTGCCCAGTGGCAGCCTTTTCTCCTAACGATTCAGCACTATGGAAGTGTGAACGGATTGGTGAGTTTGGAGTTTCTGTCCTATTTTTGCTATGGATTCTGAAGCCGTATACCCTCTCTCCCATTTATGCTGTTCTCAATAAAGCATTCAAAAAGGCACTTAATGTGAAGACACCATTGTAAATCACTCAAACCCCAAACCAACACATGAAACAGAGGCCAAATTGTGTTCAGACTACTAGCCATCAGGACGGTTTGGAATCATGGGCAGCAAAACCTGAACTCCGGAAAAATATACTAACCTCAATTCTCCTAAGGGTATTTGGAAAGCTGGTCTTTATACCATCCTTCATCACTCCGAATAATACAAATGCTGAACCGTCCAAATTTTTCCCATAGAGGAATCTGAAGGAAGATATAGAATAACATTGTAAACATATAAATGAAACAGACAGAGATCCCCCATCACTAGAACACACACCTCTCATACACAGATCACCCATCACTAGAACACACACTTCTCATACAGAGATCACTCATCACTAGAACACACATACCTCTCATACAGAGATCACTCATCACTAGAACACACATACCTCTCATACAGAGATCACCCATCACTAGAACACACATACCTCTCATACAGAGATCACCCATCACTAGAATACACACACACCTCTCATACAGAGATCACCCATCACTAGAAGAACACACACCTCTCATACAGAGACTACCCATCACTAGAACACAAACCTCTCATACAGAGATCACCCATCACTAGAACACACACCTCTCATACAGAGATCACTCATCACTAGAACACACACACCTCTCATACAGAGATCACCCATCACTAGAACACACACACACCTCTCATACAGAGATCCCCCATCACTAGCACACACACATACCTCTCATACAGAGATCACCCATCACTAGAAAACACACACCTCTCATACAGAGATCTCCCATCACTAGAACACACACACCTCTAATACAGAGATCAACCATCACTAGAACACACAACTCTCATACAGAGATCACCCATCACTAGAACACACACACCTCTCATACAGAGATCACCCATCACTAGAACACACATACCTCTCATACAGAGATCTCCCATCACTAGAACACACACACCTCTCATACAGAGATCAACCATCACTAGAACACACACACCTCTCATACAGAGATCACCCATCACTAGAACACACTCACTTTCAGTGCAGTGATAACTAATCACTAAAACAATCGGCATTTTTTTGGTATAACACATTTATGATGTACTCACTTTGCTCTGATGTCTACAATAAATTCATTATCATCAATGTAAAAGAATTTTTGGTCTGGAATCAGTTGGATCTCAAATGTTGGCAAGACTAAAGATAGAGAAAGATGGTATTACGGAATAGGAAGCTACACCATTTCTTTTTGCCTGACAATGCAGAATAACACACTTACATCCCAACTTAGTTAAATACATTTTAGGTGCATCAAAACAAAAAGGTGTTTAAAAAATCTTTTGGGTTTTTGGGGGGTTTAGAAATCAGCCACAGCCTGAGTTGTAGAAAAGTCTGTTCCCTGCCAGCATGCTGCGGAGTGGGACTCTAGCTCTCTGCGTGGAAGCAGCAGCCACTGGGTAGAGGCCCTACCCACCCGCTGCTGAGTCAGACTCAGACCTATAGCTTTAAACTCAATAGGGGGCATGAGCTGTACTAATCTATAGGTCTGACTGAGATACCACTGCTTCCACACATGAAACCATGGCGCTTCTCTGCAGAATGTGGTTGATTTTTTAATGAAAAGGAATTGTAAGACTGTGTACACCTTTTGTTTTGATACACCGGAATATTTCGCTGATTTTAACTGAAAGTTTAATAAAGGTTTAAATAATAATAATAATAATAACAACAATAACAATAATATTAATAATAATATTAATATAAAACGTTATATTCACTTTTGGCCACCTAGGGGTCTGATGATACTTTTTTTTTTTTCTCACAAGCTAAATTGTATTTAATTGAAACAAATGTATGAATACTGGGTGAAAGTTGTAAACAGTAAAATGTAGCAACATACCACATCTTATCCAATGTACTTTCGGAGCTCTGCCTCCTCGTGGATTGCTGTATTCTTATGTGTTTTAAAGGTGACCCTACACTGCAAAAATAACATTTTCTTTTTCTATTGGTAATAACTGCTTACCACAGGGGTGGATACATTACTATGGAATTCAGGAGTCAGCCTGTCCTATACAGGAGCCAGCAGGACTTTTTTCCAGGAGCCGGCTCCATTGTCAACAACTAGAGAAAACCTTGAAAGTTAGGCGCCAGCTAGGATTTTGTAAGGCCCATTTACTACCTAGCTCCTGACATTTTACCAAGCCCTGACTTACCGTATTCCTTCACATCAAAATGTGCAGTATAGTTCTGGAGCGGAGTGTCTTCGTATTTTGCTGCTATGGTCCATGTCCCCAAGCTGCATAGGAAAAATGTGCATCAGTTTCATCCCTATGCATATAGAACAGTTCATTCATTTACAGCAGATGACGGTGATACTTTGTCACAATGTGGCCTCAGGGTTGAAG